GGCGACGCGGGAACGGGGGGCCGCGGGCGACGGGAACGGGGGGCCGCGGGCGACGGGAACGGGGGGCCGCGGGCGACGGGAACTACGCGGGGTGACGCGAGGGCGACGGGGGAGAAAGCCGCCGCGCGCCTCGGGGCGCACGGCAGGCAGAAAACCGCCGCGCGCCTTGGGGCGCACGGCGGGCAGAAAACCGCCGCGCGCTTCGAGGGCGCGGCGGGATGAAAAATTAGGGTTTCGCCGCCGCGCACCACGGGGCGCGCGGCGGACACTACGGCAGCGGAAGCAGGTGGTGGGCCCATAGAGGTAAGCGGCAGGAACGTGCTCGCTCTAGATACCATGTTAGAAACAATAGGAGTGGGGCCTAGGCTTAGTAGCCTAGGCCCACACTAGGAGGTAGTAGGTTGTGCCCTAGGACTAGGGTTTGTGGTATACGAAGGAGAATTGGAGAAGTGAGAATGGGAATGATTGAACTAGCAAGCAGCAGGATACATATAGGAAACCCTAAGGGGTTGTACTCACTATTGAGCACCCCACTGCAGGCTAGACAAATAACATAATCTGACACCCGCTGCCTCGTCGCGGTGCCCTGGGGAGCCGCGCGCGGCCCCTGGTGCTCCGTCGCAGCGCCCTAGGGCGCCGCGCGCGGCCCCTGCTGCTCCGTCGTGGCGCCCTGGGGACCCGCGCGCGGCCCCCCGCTGCCCCGTCGCGGCGCCCTGGGGAGCCGCGAGCCGTCCCGCTTCAGTACGAGCAACACCCCCGCTGCTGCCCGCGCTCCTGCCCCGTGCTGCCTGTGTTAGGGTTTGGGGGTGGCGAGTGTGGGGGTGGCGAGTATGGGGGTGACGGGTGTGTGCGCCGTCCCCTGCTCCTCCTCCTCCTCCGTCTCCCACTGCTGCAGCTGCCGCTGAGGGGGGTGGATGTGTTGGAGCCGTCGGAGTGGTACGAGGGGGGTGGCGTGTGAGCAGTGCTAGAGGTACAGCAGGGGGTGTGTGAAAGGGGTGTGGGACAGCTGGGGGAAGTTGAGTGTGTCAGAGGTCCACTGGTGATCCCCGATTGATCCTAGGGAAGGGTTACAGGCACGTTGGCCTGGGGGGTTATGGGCGCACTCACCCGCTACTATAACAAGCCCTTTTATCCCAGTGGTTAGTGACTGGGATTCTGACATGATATCAGAGCGAAGGTCTCGGGTTCGAATCCCGGTGTGTGCACCTCGGGCATCCCAGTGCGGGGGGGTGTCAGAGGTCCACTGGTGATCCCCGATTGATCCTAGGGAAGGGTTACAGGCACGTTGGCCTGGGGGGTTATGGGCGCACTCACCCGCTACTATAACAAGCCCTTTTATCCCAGTGGTTAGTGACTGGGATTCTGACAGAGTGGAGGCAGCCGTCTTGTCGTCCGCAGCGCCTGTAGTCCGGGGCCCTTTAGCCTGGAGCCAGCTGCGCCTGTCGCCGTGTAGTCCGGGGCTCTGCGCCTGGTAGCGACAGTGCTGCGCACTCCTGGGAGCACAGAGAGCCAGCTGCGCCTGTCGCCGTGTAGTCCGGGGCTCTGCGCCTGGTAGCCACAGTGCCGCGCACTCCTGTTGCACGTATGTCTGCAGCTTCAGCCGTCGCCTCCCATCTCCTCCTCCTCACTTGCCCTCTGTGATAGCCTCTAGCTTTGCTTATCATTGTGAACTATTGCTCTGCCTGCTTGTTGTGCTGATTATACCCCACTTTGACTATGGGGGTGTGTCAGAATGTGATATTTGTCTAGCCTGCAGTGGGGTACTCTATAGCGAGTACAACCCAAATTAGGGTTTGCTATATGTACTCAACTGCCTGCTAGTGCAACCCCTCTTTCCTGTTTCTAGTTTCTGCTTGCTATTTCGACACAAGGTCCATCTGATGCACCTCCCGTACACCAAACTACGAAGTCGGATATGCCTAAGCAAGGACTAGGCCAACACATAACTCCCGTTAACATACTTCGCGTCGAAAAACACGATCATGGTGAAGATCCGCGCTTTAATCGTTGGACCACCTCATTGACTTGGGTCGAAGCAAGACAGATGCTTCGGCTTTAGCGGCATCGGCGAGCGGCCACAAATTCCTCTGTGCTTTCGTGCAGTCGGCGCGTTTGCTCATTAAGGCGCTCTTACGTGAGGCTCGCAATGTCAGCATGTTCTGCCATGTCGAAGGATAATGGCCGGTCTAGGTGCTGTCAGAATAGTGAGCAGAGATAAATGCATTGAGCAGAGAAGTGGGTACAAATGCTAACCCGAAGATGGGTTGTAAACCCTTATGGGCTACCCCATTACAACCTACACAGCACAAGCATCATTATAGTTTGACACACCCCCATAGGCAAAGTGGGGGAGAATCAGTGGTCACAAGACCAGTCATGAAAAGCAAAGCAAGCTCAGGGTGGATCACGACGTCACCACACATTCTGAGCACAAGCAAATGGCCACAAGGCCAATTCACATGCATAGTTATGTAAAAGAGAGCAAACACTACAGTGATCACTACCTAGTAAGAGTAAGAATGTAAGTATATATATAGATCACAGTACAAGCAAAATCATGCAGTGAGCAAGTGAGACGAAACGGGCATAAGGCCTAAAGAAGTACAGAAACGCTGATGATCACCAGGCGGAAGTGCCTTGGTGAATATATCAGCAGTGTTGGCCCGAGTGGCCACGTAAGCAAGACGAAGCTGACCACGCTGCTGCAACTCACGAGCAAGGAAGTAACGCAGAGCGATGTGCTTCGTTCTGTGCTCCAGTCTGTGCTCCTGGCACAAGGCAATAGCGGCCTTGTTATCCACGTACATAACTGGAGGAGAACGAGGCCGCTCTCCCAAGTCGGTCAGCAGGTAGGTGAGCCAGCGTAACTCCTGTGCAGCCATGGCTGTAGATCTTAGCCTCACAACTGGAGCTGAGAACAGAAGACGAGCGGGTAGACCGCCAAGAAACAGAGCCGCAGCCAAGGCTGAAAGTGTAACCCTGTGACGACCGCTGCGTAACCAGGTCGTCAACCCAAGACGCGTCTGAGTGTCCAGTGAGGACAACTGGACCCCGTCCTCCAAGCACGAGCCCTATGCCCGATGTACTGCACAAGTATGGAACACCCTCTTAATAGTCTCCCAGTGCTCTCGCCGGTGTCTCCCGGGCGCAACGTAGCGTGCCAGGATGCTAAGAGGGTAGGCAAGGTCAGGTCGAGTGCAGGTCATCAGGTACATGAGGCAGCCCACAAGCTCTGATAACATGTCAGAATAGTGAGCAGAGAATGAATGCATTGAGTAGAGAAGTGCGTACAAATGCTAACCCTAAGTTGGGTTGTACCCCTTATGGGCTATCCCACTACAGCCTACACAGCACAAGCATCATTATAGTTTGAGAGGTGCTAGGCGCAGTCGAGTCTCACGAGCTTACCAAAGAGCACGAGCACAGCGGCTCCTAGTGCCCTAAGGGGCGTGAGCCACTTCGAGTGAAAATTCTATAGTTTGCTTCTGCTGGTTGCGGAAATGTGCGCTCCGAAGAGAAAAATGGCTCTGATAGCCAAGTGTTATGGGAGCAATATAGTGAGGTAGCAAGGATTGCACAATTGTTAAACGAGTATAAAGTATGAGCGAAGGCATGAGCAAATACTTATTAGCGAAACGCGCAAACGGTAACACGGTGTGTGCGAGCTAGCTAGTGCGATGCTGGCCTGGCCGACTCGGGCCAGGCCAGCGATGCATGGTTGGTAAATGCAGTGCTCGGGGGCGGCGAAAGCTCCGTTAACTGTAATGGGCGAAGAGCGGTTGGTCTTGTACGCGATGTTGAGCGGCTCAGTATTGAGTGCGAAAAAAACTATACACTTACGCATGTATACCTACTATCGAGGCATGTGACACGCCCTACGAGGGTGTAGCAGTAGCGGGCGAAGAATGGTCGCTTGTCCTTCGCAGCAGAGGAGATTCCAGGTGTGCCTTGGTGAGCGATCGATGCATGTATCATTATGCCCTGGTCATGCTTCGCCTTGCTCGCCGAGATGCGAGAATTTTGCTCAATTTCACGGAAGCGCGGTTTGATTTATTGTCGCCACGTGGCGAGCCTATGATCGCGTGAAACGCAATCCATTTTATTGTTATCACAAACTTCAAGAGAAATTTAGTTAAGTTCTGTACTGCGCTGCCCGCAGGCAAAAATAAACCCCTATAGGTAAGGCATGCATTGGGGATGCATCAACCCTAAACACTTAGTGGCAAGGTGTTTAGGGTTGATGCCTCCCTAACGCATGCCAGGCCCAAATGGGTTTTATTTTTGCCCGCGGGCAGCGCAGTACAGAACTTAGCTAATTCCACTTGAAGTTTGTGATAACAATAAAACAGATCGAGATTCACGAGATTGAAGGCATGCCACGTGGCAAAAATAAAACGATCCGCGATTCCGCGGAATTGAGCAAAACTCTCCCGAGATGCGCACCACAGCGGCAGGCGTTCGTCACACCACCGCATTGCCGCGACTCGCCGCAAGCAGGCCTTGCGGCGATGCAGCTCGCTCGCATGAGCACACCCGACGCGTGCATGCACCCGCGCGGCGCGCATGCAAGCACACCGCCGATTCGCCGCGAGTGTCTGGCGCGCTGCGCCATTACTTTCACGAAGAATGTCGAGTAAAGTAGAGCTGCCTCTCAATGTTGGCGAATGTGAACCGTCGTTGTCGTTGTCGCTCTCGACTACTGCGCGCCTCCGCCGTGTTCACGGCGCGCTCGACCGAAGCGCCGCGAGGCAGTCTGTCCCGCTCGTTGCGCTGCTCTTCCTCCCACTCGCCCGTGCAAGTCCTCACCTCTCGAGCGGGCGCCTGTGAATCGCGTCTGTTCACTTGCGCTCACCGAGTTCTTTCATAATCGCCACACCCGCCGCCTCGTTAACAGTCCGTCTCATCCCACGGTTCTCAGTCCGTTCCTCCGTCATCCCGTTCTCCTCTCATCGCATCGTCGTAATCGTCGCAATCGTCGCATCAAGTCGCGCAACGGCAGCATGTGGGGGCATCTGACGTCGTCCCTGCGCCGCCTCACAGTGCGCTCCGGCGAGCCGCACACGGCGCCGGACAAGCCGCTCGTCGTCGTCTTCGGGGCCACCGGTGAGCCTCGCCGCGCCTCGCCACGCCTCGCCGCGCCTCGCCACGCCTCTCCGCGCCCACTTGTGTCCGTCCCTCTCCCTCTTGTGTCTGTCGCAAACAATCCATCCCCGCCCTCCCCCCCCCCCCGTCCTCCTCCCCGCACCCCCCCAGGCGCGCAGGGCAGCAGCGTGGTGGCGGCGCTGCTGGCGAGCGGGCGCTACCGCATCCGCGCGGTCACGCGCCACGCCGACTCGCCGCGCGCCGCCCATCTCAGGGACGCCAAGGTGGAGGTGGCGCAGGCCGACCAGGCGGACCGCCACGCTGTGCGCGCCGCGCTGGAGGGCGCGTATGGCGCGTTCGTGGTGAGCGATAGTGTCCCCCGCTGCGATGTCATTCTCGCCATGGGATATTCTTATCCACACACCAGTCCCACCACGCCATGGCTGCGACTTATTTTTGCCTTTCCGAATTTCGTGTTGCGTTGCTGCCCAGCGTTTGTTAGTGTGCGTATTACCAGGCAAGTATCATCCAGCGTATTGACGCTTGTGTCAATTCCAATCCAACATAGCCCCTGTCGCCATGCTCTTGCTCTGATTCACCTTCCTTTTCCCAACTGGTTCACCACACCCTCTGCTGCTACACCGCCCCCCAACGCCCCCCACCGCCCCCCACCGCCCCCCACCGCCCCCCTCCACCTCCCCCCACGTCCACCCCCCCCCCTGGCGGGCAGGTGACGGACTACTACTCGCTGGGCGAGCGCGAGGAGGAGGTGGGGAGGGGCGTGGTGGAGGAGGCGAAGGGGGCGGGCGTGCAGCACGTGGTGTGGAGCACACTGCCCCACGTGCACCGCCTCTCCAAGGGCCAACTCAACGTGCCGCACTTCACCAACAAGGCCAAGGTGCATGCCTCTCGCTCGCTCCCTTCTTCCCCTGCTCTGCTGCTGCGTCCCACTCTCTGCTGCTGCCTTACTGCGTGCCTCTCCTTATCTCCAGGCCTTGCATTTATGCCTGTGCTGCCCCACGCCGGTTGCCAGACCTTAGGTTTCCCTCGGTTTTCCTACTCCTGTGTGCCGTCTCTCCTGTGCGCCGTCTCTCCTGTGTGCCGTCTCTCCTGGTCATCCTGGCCTGGCAGGTGGAGGAGGTGGTGAGGGCGAGCGGCTTCAAGCACCACACGTTCGTCATGTGTGCCTTCTACTACCAGAACTTCGCCCACTTCCATCTCACCAGGTGAACTTCCTTCAATCTCACCAGGTGGGTCCTCTCGCCCTTCCACCTCGCCGCCAGGTGCGCCCATGCGCCTTGTCCGTCGTTTCTGCCATCTGCTTTAACACTCTCCACCTGCGCATGCAAGCGCACTGCCTTAATATTCCACCCTGTGCTGTGTGCTGCTCGCATGTGTGCCGTGTGCCGTGCGGGGCAGGGAGGAGGGCGATGGCACGGTGGTGTTTGAGCTGCCTATGGCGCCGGACGACATGCTCACGGCCTTTGATGTGGACGACACCGGTGCCGCCGTGCTCAACGCCCTTGACCACCCGGATGACTGGGACGTGAGTGCTTTCTTCTCGCCCTGGCTTCTCTGGAGACTCCAACTCTACTGCTCGTGCTTGCCCGTGTGTTGGTCCCTGTGTTCCTTCTCTGCTTAGTCCTCTCCCTCTCCTCTCTCTGCGTCTGCCGTGCGTCACAGGGCGAGTACATGTGTCTGGCGGGCTACCACGCCCCCGTGCACCAGTACGTCTCCGACTTCCACCGCGTCGCCGCCCGCCCCGCCCGCCTGCACACCACAGACAAGGCCGCCTCTGAGGAGTGGACGCAGGTGAGAGGAGAGGGACGCCTGCACTCTGGCTTCAGGGAAAGGCTGGGGCGGGGACGAGGGGAGGGGTCCAGTGGTTTCACTTTTGGCCTCGTTGATCCTTACCGTGCTGCATGCATGATATGTCATGTCTTGAGCAGCGTTCCACACTCTCCTGCCTTCTCCGCTTCCCTTCTCATCCACTGTCCCTCCTTCACGTGTCCCGTGGGGCAGATGTTCCGGTGGTTCTCTCAGCACACCTACTTCGGCTGCCATGACATCAGCAACGCGCGGCGCTGCAACCCGCACCTCAAGACGTGGCGCCAGTGGCTGCAGGAGAGCGGATGGAAGGGGCCTGAGGGGGGCGAGGGGAAGGGCGAAGCCAAGGGGGAAGCGAAGGGAGAGGCTGAATGCAAGAGCGGCGTGAGGGGGGTGGGTGGAGGGGCCAAGGAGGTGGAGCAAGAGGGTGAGGGCCCTCCCAAGGCGCATGTGGCGGGCGCGTAGCAGTGTGGTGGAGAGTGGGGGGCATTAGAAATACTATACAATACAGTGCTTTGATCAAGTGTGCATGTGGACTGTCAAAGTTGGATGCTTGTCAGAGCATCTCGCCATGCTTGTACATGTGTAAATACCGCGCTAATGTGTAGCGAACAAAATTTCACATGTTAAAACTGCTCTTCACATGTTGGCCAACAATACACATCCACACGATGTGCATGTTTTCCGTCACATCCAAGCTACCGTACTTTCTTGCAAGTCACCTGACTTCGCTGCTCATTCTGCACGCAAATTAGCATGAAACCGCACCTACCGTAAGACCCCCTCCAGTTGTAGACCCCCGGGTCTATAATACGGGGGGGGGTACTCTATTCAAGTCTATCCGGGTTATACCCCCCTAAATGGCATCTGACTTTATAAGGCCCCCCCCCTCCCACTGGCGACCTACCATCAGCCTTCGGATATACACGTTTCTTTTGACGGTGCGCTTAAAATCGAGGATTTTCATAAGTGTCGGCCCATATATGATGACATACCGTATATGAAATCTGTTTTTTCTTCACCAATCAATACATCTCGTTCTTACAATTTGAATCGAGTCGAAACTATACGTGGATCTGGAGGACAATATCGAGCAAGTTGGCAGGGAATGATTCCTTGCCGGCGCGAACAGTAAAGAATGAGCCAATTTTCGCGCCTAACATCTCATTCTGACTGGACATGCTGGTAGTGAACTGAGCGAGGGTCAAGGATCTTGAAATTCAAGACTTCCAACTAGATTTCGTGATGACGTGCGCTTGATCCTCGTCGAGACAATTTCACATATTTTTTTGAGGTGCTAAAAATGGAGCACTTTCCATTCACTTGTCTAAGTTCAAAAACATGTGTCTTAAAAAATACATTTTGTAAAGACCCGGGTCTTATAAAATATATGCCATTTATTTAGACCCCCCCGTTTTTTTTGGTGTGCATAGCATAATACCCCCGGGTCTTATATCCGGGGGTTTACGGTAAACAAATCCTTACATGGCTTCCAAAGAGCACAAAACCGCACAAAACCGCACTGAACTGAATACTGCGCTACTCAGTGTGTTCCAGCAGCGACAGCACCTTGGCTGCATGCGCCTGTCTCGACCCAAACAGAGGCCGCATGTCAGCAGGCAACCACGCCTCATCCGCCCTCCACGACCCTGCCCCACCGCCTCCTCTCCCCCCTCCCATCGCTCCGCCCCCCTTCTCCACCATCTCCTCTCCAAACGTCTCTGCAATGCGGTACAGAGCGGTGCGCACCACATCCGCCATGGCCCATGCCTCGCCCCACACCGGCCCCACCACCCCCTCGCCGTACACCGCTCTCCCCACCGCCCCGCCCCCGGCTCCCATGCCTGGTATGGCTGAACCACCTGCTTCAGTACCTCCATACCTAAGACCGAGGGTCGGTGTGCCGAATAGTACCCCGCTTCCCGAAGCTAGAGCCGAGGTCTGGTGGGAGAAGGCAGGTTGGGAGGCACCCGGAGGGGTCGCTTGCGAGGAAGCTTCCTCCCCGAAGCCAGAGAAGGTGGCGGGGGCGGCGGGGTGGCGGTGGGAGGGGGAGAGGAGGAGCGAGTCGAGGGAGAGCAGCGCGGACAGCAGCGAGGAGAGCACAGCGGCGTTGGCGCCCGCCATCTGCGCCACGCCCATGCGGTCCTCCACCCGTGATGCTGCTGTCAGCGCTGCCAGGGCTCGTATGCTCATGGCACACAGCTGGTGTAAGGGGGTGAGATGGAGGGGACAGTAGGAGGGGTGGGATTAGGAGGAGACTTTTGAGTCGACTGAAAAGTGACCTCGTTATTTTGCGGCGGGTGCAGGAAGGCAGGAATGTGGCGCACCACGATGAGATCGCACAGCATGGCATGCCAAGACAGCCAGCACATGGCAAGCCATGTCATGACATGCCATGGCGTGGCATTTGGGTCACCTCAACCATCACCAAACCCGCCGCCCTCTCACCTGCCAGTCAAAGAACACCTCAGCCGCGCTGGGCGCTCTCCCCCCGCCTCTCCTCTGCTCCGTGCCGCCCACACCCAATCCACTCCCCCCTTCATCTGATCTCACCCCTCCATTCCAGGCAAACCCCCCTTGCACCGCTTGCCCCTCCACGCCCTCTCCTCCGCTCTTCCCCTGCCGCCACCTCAGCCCGTCAGCAGAAGCAAACCCGGCTCCTATGACTGTAGCCGTGGGTGACTGTAACGAGTAGTGCTGCTGCTGGAGCAGCGCACCTGTAACGGTGGGGTAACCGGCAGCAGCAGCGACTCTGAGCGTCATGGCATCGATGGGGACGATGCACGCCGCCACCACCGCGCTGTACGCCTCCTGCGACTCAAACAGCGCCGCACGGCGCCACGTGTCAGCCTCTGATTCGGCGAGCAGCGAGAGGTCAAGCAGCGCCCAGTGCAGCACGAGGCGGGGCAGGGCGGGGGGCGCGGGCAGGGCGCGGAGGGGCAGGGGGGGCGGGGACGGAGGAGGGGCGGAGGACGGGGAGGGGGAGAGGGCGAGGAGGAGGGGGGCGATGGGGGAGGCGGGGGAGGAGGGCGGCAGGAGGAAGAGGTGGCGGTGTGTGAGGAAGATGTCCGAGGCGGCCGCTGCCGCCTCCCAGGAGAAGGCCAGCCACGCCACAGCGTGCACGCGGGCCAGCAGGGCGAGGAGGAGAGAGCGGATGGACAGAGGCGGGGCGGCGAGGAAGGGCAGGGGAATGCCGGTGGCGGTGGCGAGGAGGGGCAGCAGCAGCGGGCGGAGCAGCAGGGAGTAGAGCAGCGCCGTGATGCACCCAAACGTGGCTGCTGACGTGGCGCAGCGCGGGAGGGCCGTCTTGAATCGGTAGAACGGGGCTCGCTGTGAGGGGTATGGGGTGTGGCGGGTGGCAGAGAGAGGGCGACAGGGGGAGGGGGGAATTATTAGGGCAGGACCTTGGGTTTGGGGTGTAGGGTTGTGGGTTTAAAGGGGCGCTGATATGTGAGACATAGGGAGGTGAGACATAGGGAGGTGAGACATGGGGAGGTGAGACGGGAAACGCACCTCCAGCACGGGGAAGGCGAGGAGGTAGTCGCGCCGCACCACGTGGTACGCCGCGAACAACACCCCCAACGCGCCGCCGAACCCCGCCTCGCCCGCCACGGCCCAGCCGTCCTCCCGCCACGCGCCGTTGGATTCGATCTCCGCCGCGCCGCCCAAAAGCTGCGCGCGGAAGAGCGAGAGCGCGATCGCCCCTGCGGCGCCCGCCGCGGCGCAGAGAGCAGCGAATTTGGCGCGGCCCGCCAGCGTCGCCCTAGCCGCTTCCGCCTCCCATTGGCTGGCGGGCCCGCGAAACCCGCCGTCCGCTGTGCGAATCTGTTGGTCTTGATGCACGAGCGGGCTTGGATCCGATGTGCCGGCAAATCCGGCGAGGTTTGCGGCGGAAGCGAGGAGGGAGGCGGTGGAGGGGAGGGGAGGGGCATCGGCGACGACGATGGCGTGGCGAGCGAGAACGAAAAGGAGTTGCGAAATATCGAAAATCGCGAAAGCGAGGTAGAGGCGCAGGGAGAAGAAGGAGAGGAGCGAAGGGAGGAGGCCCGCGCGGAGGACGAGCGGCGCGGCCCAGAGGAAGAGGAAGGGGCCGATGGAGAGCAGGTGGAAGAGAAACGCGCGCGCCCAGCGGCGATGCACGACATCGCGATACATCGCCTCGGCGGACGCGCTGGCGACGGCGGGAATCTGCTGCATGACGATATGCGACGCGATGATGACGCAGAGACGGAATACGGTGGGCTAATTCGGAGAGAGGGGGTAAGCCATGGGTGATTGCGGGAATCGCTGGCAGCCAACCGCAAATGCCGCCTTGGAGTGGCCTAGAGGATGCAATCTGGTTCATACGCAATAAGGTCTGTTGGATCACAGATGGTTGTCATGGCACCAAAATATAAGGAGGATTGCTGAAAAAGACCTAACAAAAGGTTCAATAACCATGGAGCAAAAAATAATGACGAAACTCATATTGTAATACCGGTATCGATAATATATTTCTATACTTACTGCAACAACAGCACGACCATGAATCGTCAAAACTTTTAAAAGAGAAAGAATAAACTGACCGGTAATAACATGTATGTACTTGTGAGCATGCGTATATGTTGTCGAAACAGTAAGCAGAAGTTTAGAACAGGAAAGAGGGTTTGCACTAGCAAGCAGTTGAGTACATATAGTAAACCCTAATTTGGGCTATACTCGCTATAGAGTACCCCACTGCAGGCTAGACAAATATCACATTCTGACACACCCCCATAGGCAAAGTGGGGTATAATCAGCACAGCAAGCAGTCATAGAGCAGGTTCACAAGTACAAGCAAAACTAGAGGCAGTCACAGAGGGCAAGTGAGGAGGAGGGACTGTGAGAGGAGAGGAGATTGGAGGCGACGGGTAAAGCCGCAGACACACGGGCAACAGGAGCGGCGCGCACGGTGGCTACCGGTGGCAAGGGCCCCGGACTACAGGAGTAACTGGCTCCGCGCTAAGACGAGCGGCAGGAGCAACGGACCCACGGGCGACTGGCGCAGCAGGCTCGCTGGGCTACCAGTGGCAAGGGCCCCGGACTACTGGCGCTGCTGACGTCACAACGGCTACCTCCGGTCAACCTCCCCCAACTGTCCCACACCCCTTTCACACACCCCTTGCTGCACCCCTAGCTCCACTCCCACGACACCCCCCTAGCGCCACTCCCTCGGCTCCCACACACCCACTGTGAAGAATGAGGAATGGATGAACTAGGAAAATGTTGGATACAAATAAGAAACCTTAGAAACCTGTACCCCTTAGTGTCTACCCCACTAGAGCCTACAAAGACTATGTCACATTTATCTGACACACCCCCATAGACAAAGTGGGGGAGAACTAGAGGTCACAAGTCCAGTCAAGCAAAGCAAGCTCAGGGTGGATCACAACGTCACCACACATTCCGAACACCGGTTCAAGGCCACAAGGCCAGTTCACATGCAGGATTATATATAAAGGCAAACAAGCAAGAGCAGGTATATATAAATCACAGTACAAGCAAGGTCAAGAAGTGAGCAAGTGAGGCCAAGTAGGCACAAGACCTAGCATCGTACAAAAGCGCTGATGATCACAAGGCTGAAGTGCCTTGGTAAAGATATCAGCAGTGTTGGCCCGAGAGGCCACGTAAGCAAGGCGCAGCTGACCACGCTGCTGCAGCTCACGAGCAAGGAAGTAGCGAAGAGCAATGTGCTTCGTTCTGTGCTCCAGTCTGTGCTTCTGACACAAGGCCAGCATGGCCTTGTTGTCTACGTACAGAACTGGAGGAGAACGAGGCGTCAGTCAGCAGGTAGGTCAGCCAGCGTAACTCCTGTGCAGCCATGGCCCCTGCGTAGATCTCAGCCTCACAGCTGGAGCTGAGAACAGACGACGAGCGGGTAGACCGCCACAAAACAGAGCCGGAACCAAGGCTGAAGGTGTAACCCTGTGACGACCGCTGTGTAGCCAGGTCGTCGACCCAAGACGCGTCTGCGTGACCAGTGAGGACCACTGGACTCTGCCCTCCAAGCACGAGCCCCATGCCCGACGTACTGCACAAGTAGCGCAACACCCTCTTCGCTGCAGCCATGTGCTCTGGTCGGTTTTTTGAAGACTGGTTTTTAGCGGTCGAAAAACTTCGCGTGTAAACGGGCTCTGATTACCAAGTGTGAGGATCTTAGGATCGAGCTCAGAAAAGAGAATGTAAATTGAATGATCACCTGGGTACAACACGAGGCTATATAGGCTCGAAACAAGGCAGGTAACCCAGGTGTTACGCGAATGTTCTGAGGGTCGCGAAGCGTCCCGAACAGAACCTTCCCGAACTCGGTAGAAAGCAATTCGGTGGCAACCGAATAGCTTGAGTTCGGTACACGTAACCTGGTTCGGTGCCTATAACTATAATAACTATAGTAAAGCAACGAACCTAAGGAATCAAGCAATTCATGCATGCAGAAAATAATCCTAAGCTAGAAGTAGCGTAAGGAAATAAAAGCAAGCATGAATAACAAGCATAAGCCGTCGTACTCTCACAGTAAACCTGCACAATGCCAAAACCAAACTGCGAGGCGATTGCAATGCGTAAGTTGCGCATCGCATGTCAGTTGGGGCGAGCATATCTAGTTTGTTACCTTAGGAATCGAAAAGAAGGCCCTTGCACATGCGATACTTGAATAGTTTGGTTGTAACCACTCGCGTAACAAAATTGTAGTAGTTTGTTACCACGTGATAACAAAACGCTCATGTATTAAAAGCGATAGAGAAATTGTTGGTGAATATTAGTTCCTAAATGGAGATGTGACAAAGCGAGCTTCCTTTAATTGAGATAACTATACTATTCAATAGAAGAACACGCAACACTACAAATATTGCTTCATTATGATGCAACCAAAACAAATGTGCAATTAAAATTATTATTCAACGCTAACAATAATCATTAGTTTGAAACTAATTAACGTCAGATTGTCACCAAACCTACTCTAAATCTACAAATGCTCTACAGCTAAATAAAGCTGCTAAATATCCTCTACAATCTACCCATCCTTAACAATGACATGACATTTCCAAAATAATAAAACCCACTTACTAGTGGAATGTTTGCGCTATCAGAATCACTAGGCAAGGATGATGAACTAGCAGAAGTTTGGGTACAAATATGAAACCCTAGTTGGGGTTGTACCCCATATTGGCTACCCCACTACAACCTACAAGCATACTACAGTTTAACACACCCCCATAGGCAAAGTGGGGGAGAACAAAGGGTCACAAGACCAGTCCAGCAAAGCAAAGCAACGCCCAGGGTGGATCACAACGTCACCACACTCCGAGCACAAGTAAAGGCCACAAGGCCAGTTCACATGCAGTGCTAGATATAGTACAAGACAAGCAACACAGTGATCAAAACCTAGCAAGCAAGCAACAAGATATATATAAAGTACAGTACAAAGAATGTCAAGCAGTGAGCAAGTGAGGAAACGTGGACACAAGGCCTAAAGAAGTACAGTGCCGCTGATGATCACTAGGCGGGAGCGCCTTGGTGAAGATATCAGCAGTGTTGGCCTTCGAGTCCACGTACACAAGCCGAAGCTGACCGCGCTGCTGAAGCTCTCGAGCAAGAAAGTAGCGAAGAGCAATGTGCTTCGTCCTGTGCTCCAGTCTGTGCTCCTGACACAAGGCAAGAGCCGCCTTGTTGTCACCGTACAGAACTGGAGGAGAACTAGGCCGCTCTCCCAAGTCAGTCAGCAGGTAGGTGAGCCAGCGTAACTCCTGGGCAGCCATGGCTGTGGCGTAGATCTCAGCCTCACAACTAGAGCCGAGAACAGAGGAAGAGCGGGTGGACCGCCACGAGACAGAACCAGAGCCAAGGCTGAAGGTGTAACCCTGTGACGACCGCTGCGTAGCCAGGTCGTCCACCCAAGAAGCGTCCGAGTGACCAGTGAGGACAACTCTGTCGCGTCCTCCAAGCACCAGCCCCATGCCTGATGTACTGCACAAGTAACGCAGCACCCTCTTAGCAGCCTCCCAGTGCTCTCGCCTGTGTCTCCCAGGCGCAACGTAACGAGCAAGGATGCTAAGAGGGTACGCGAGGTCAGGTCGCGTGCAAGTCATCAGGTACATGAGGCAGCCTACAAGCTCTGGGTACGGGCCACTCGGCTCTACGGACTCGTCCGAAGGTGGAGCTGAGAGCGAGTGGCTGGTAGCCAGAGGTGTGGCCTGTGGTGAGGAGAACTGGAAGCCGAAGCGCTGAAGGACCTGCTGCACCATGTGTGACTGAGTCAGGGTGATGGTGCGGCGAGCTCTGTCCCGGGTGATCTGCAAGCCAAGGTAGCTACGCAGTTCACCCAGGTCAGTGCAGGTATGTCTCTTCTGCAGCTCCGACTTCACACGAGCGAGTGCCTCAGTGTCAGCAGTAGCAAAGACCAAGTCGTCGACGTACACGAGGATGTAGAACGGCGGCAGCGACGTGTCTGTGCGCAGAAACAGCGACGGGTCAGCAGTAGAGGGAGCGAACCCAAGAGCCGCAAGAGTAGTCCTCAGTGTGTCGTGCCACTCACGTGGCGCCTGGCGGAGACCGTAGACTGGCCGGCGGAGACTCCACTGGGTACCAGGGGGAAACGACCCAGTAAAGCCAGGTGGGCGGCGCAGCCAGATCTCCTCGTGCAGGCTGCCCTGCAGGAACGCTGTGCTGAAGTCAAGAGAGTGAAGCTCGTAGTCACGCTGAGCAGCAACGTGCAGCAGAACCCGAAGAGTGGTCATCTTCGGGGTGGGGGAGAAGGTCTGGAAGAAGTCGACCCCCTGACGCTGACTGAAGCCTCTAGCAACGTAACGAGCCTTGAAGACAGGCGGAGAACCTGGCGGCCGCTTCACCCTGAAAATCCACATGCCATCGACGATGTTCGCCCCAGGAGGGGGAACCTCGTCGACGTAGGTGCCTGTGGACTTCCAGGATGCCATCTCTGCGTCCATGGCTGTCTGCCACTGAGAGGAGTAGGGACCCGAGATCGCCTCTGCGTAGGTGCGCGGAGTGGGGATGTCTACTGCATCCGGGTCTCCCTCAGGGGCAAGCAACCAGGCCACGAGATGAGGTACAGCAGCCGCAAGTGAGTCAAAGTCCTCCTGCCTGTCCTCAAGGACGTCCGTGCCAAGAGCACACTCACC